TCAGAGTGTTTTTGTATCAAGTTTAATAAAAAAATTAAATCAAAATTGTTGTTATGTTTGATTTTATAGTTGTTTACAATATTTTTTAAAATGTTTAAAATTTCTTGGTTGTTTTTTATATAATTTTCATAGTAATTGATATTCTGTTTTCAATTATCTGACAATTTATTAAAAATTTCTGAATCTTTGTAATTATTATTTTTTTCTAACCATTTTTTTCGTTTTTCTAATATTTTTTTTATGCTGCTGTTACTTTCTTGATCCATTCAATATTTATAGATCTATTTTCTTGTGTAAGAGGAAAGAGAATTGTTTGTTGAGCGTGAACTTTCAATCTTTCTATTGAATTAGGTTGTTAGGCATAGGATCTTTAATTTTATATAATTCCCATATTTCTTTAACAAGATCAAGAGTGTGAGTATCAGTTTCTTGTTGAAATTTACGTCCATTAATCAAACCCCAAAAATTATCCATGATTGTGTCAAAAGTTTCAGCTTTGCCTCTATAATCTCATTTTTGTATAAGCCATTCTCTTATTCTTGTAACACAGTCTTCTGTAATTTCTATTTTTTCATATGGAAGTCTATCATCTTCTTCTGGAATAACAGATGGATTGGTGGGTTCAGACATTTGTAATTTTTTTTTCCTGATTTCTTGTAAATCTGAGGTTTTTTTTCCTTTTAAATATTTATTATCCAAATACTTAATACTCCGATCAAAATCACCCCAATCTTTAAAATCTTCTTTGTTTGTAGAAGCGTTCATTCTATTTATAATAACCTGGTAATACACGATACTGTTTTCTTTATGTATAGATATGATTTTATCAATATATTTTTTCATTTCTTGGGTATGAAATGATAATGTTTTATCAAAAGTTTTTTCATCATTTAATTTAAATTTAACAAAATTCAAATAGATCTCAAAATTTCTTAAATAAAATTTTTCATCACGCGTTTTTGTATTGATGCTTGTTTGTTTGTCTTTTAATTAATTAATTTGAATTTGTTGATTAGTTTTACTGTAAAATTTGTTCAAAACGATGATTGAATTATCTAAAAATGTATTAACAATTTTGTCCAGGGATATTTTTTTATCTTTTAATAAATGTTTATTTTTACCCAAAGCTAGAACATTTTCAGTCAATTTACCATGACTGTACGAATCGATGATAAAATCTTCAAGGTTTTTGATGTTGTTGATTTCACTTAAAACTTTATTGTAAATAATATCAATAATTTCACCGATTCTTCTGGGTATTTCTTTATCATAAAAAGCTAATTTTTGATTTGGGGTTAAAATTGTATCTGATCCGATTTCATTTGTTCTTATTTTATTTAATTCTTCCAAGGTAAAGATTTTGTTAAT